TGCTAACTATTCTATAATTTGGAACCCATGAGCCGCCAATGCCATCTACCTGCTGCAATCTAATCTGCCACATGTGCCCCGATCCCTGTGTGAAGCTGCCGGCCGGCCATCATCAAGTGCGGACTCAAGAAGGTGTGCCTACTAGATAGCAGACAGCAAGTGTCCAGGAGTTGGAGCAGCCATCGACGCCCAAGAGAACAATGTGTCGGATGATGAAGCCTCTGTGTCGAGCAGAGGTGGTTTGATATGTTTCTCCTTTCCATCTAATTTCTGTTAACAATTCCGTGATTTCATAATGATAACCCTGTTTAGATTAGCATCCAGATAGCAACTCAGCCCTTATAATCAACCCATTGATAAATATTCAGTATGGCATTCTTGCTACATTCTTGTTGTGCAAATAATTCAGCAATTCTTTTCTATTGAGCTTTTCTGAAAACCATCTAAAGTTAGTAACCTAGAACTTTTGAATTGCAATGTGCAATAGCTTAAATCATCATGGTTTTTAAGCACATTGACTATTGTGTGGTGTGCATTTGATTTTCCTTTGAATTCTGAAAGTAAAAGTCAATTACACAATTACAAAGGATGTTGCAAGCTAATTCTAGTTCTATACGCCTATATGGTTAGGATGTTAGTTCTGAGCACTCTTACACTTTTTTCTCAGTTTAGGCTTCCCATTCCAACGTATGGTTATCATGATATGATTTTGCAACCTTACTATTCTTTTTTTTGAACTCGCAACCTTACTATTCTGTAGTCTCTACTCTAATTTTTACTCAATGTATCTGCAGGAGTTTAACACAAACAAGGTTTACATCAAGATGTTGATCCAAATAAATTGTCTGCAGGATTGAGGAAGCTACAAAAGTGTCCAATTTTTAATTGATTATGGCAGATAGTCTCAGATTATATCATATTTTAATTATCTATGTATTTGTATGGAGAGACCCGTGACATATTTGGTCTAGTAGAATTTTCATAAAGTACATAGAAATGTTGTCAAATACTTTTTTTGGTTAAATTTGAGTTTTGCATGTTTCAGTTTTTGGTTTGAGAAAGAGTAACCTTTCTGTTTGGACAACATGCGTAGTTTTGAATGTGACAATTTTTTTTTTTGATTTTTTGAGATATTTTATTTGTTATATCCTGGGATTTCTGCACTTGTTCAGCATGTTTTCTTATGTTACTCACCTTTCTTAATTCACTTTCATTTTATGTTTTTTATGTAACATATGTATCATCGGATGATCCTTCATACATACATACTGCTGGTTTGTTCAAGCCAGTAGTTATAAACCAACACATGATTATCTCCTTGGAAAAACTTCCAAATAGCAACAGGGAAGTTACCCCATGCGGGGATATCCCCCTAGCAGGTGGACAGGGATTGCCTTGTCCAAAAATTCCCTCCCACCCGATCACTTCCCTGGGTTAATCACCCTGTGGCTGCCAAAGTAGCCCAAGCGTTGGAGTTGCACCACGGCCCGTTAGGACGTCGCACCGTGGTGACTGGAGAGCAACTGCTCGCCACTCGCACACGCACGCTACTCGTGCTCTGTTTTTAAAAATCGCGTGAATGAAATGATTGTAGTGAAAAAGTGCCAATGTCACGTACAAGTTCTTCCCGTCCTTACCAGACCAGCAAACATATACATACACGTACATCGTAATGAAACCTATAATTTGTAATGGGACGTATAATTTATGATGCACAATAGTAATGAGCTAGCTATAGTATTTTAAAGTTAGGTTTAGGCCAAGTCCAACCTTAAATCAAATGAATTTCAAAGTCTATAATAAACATTAGTGCAATAAAGGCTTAGTCTTGTATGGAAAGTCGATAGACGATAGGAGATTAACTCAGCTTCAACTTAAATAGGTGGTATTGTGTACATTTGTTGTGAGTTTAAGAAAGATAAAAGACGAGCACCATGGTGCAAACGGGTTTGGACGGCCAACCATGACACGAGTGGTAATTGCGCAAACAACGGTTCTGTAACTCCAAACTCAAAGCAAGAAGAGCAAGGGATGATGGACCAAGGGATGAACAGGGGAGAGAGTGAGTGACAGAAACAAAATCATTTTTTTAATATTAAGTATAGATATAGATTGTGGCTTACCCTTAGATATAGATTACGTGTTATCCTCATAAAACTTGTTCTGAAGATCTCATAATCTTATTACCCAAAGGAAAAGGTATAAAAGACACTTATTTGTCTGGGCACCTCCAATGATTACTTGTGTTGTGAGGTAGCTCTAAACATAGTTTTTATATTTTAATATGAGAGAGAAGTTATCTCTTATCAAGAGTTGGTCTCATACACATACTTTAAGATTATGTGAGATTATCATATATTTTTATTCATATTATAAGTTATGTGCTAAATGTTAATATTATTGGAAAGGTTATTTTAGAGCTAATAATTGTCTCATGTGTCCTTGTTTACTTACTCCGTCCAACCATCCCACCATAACTGATGCTTTAAATTTAAAATTCGTTCAACATAGCCAATGTTTTAGGGTAGTTCAACACATGCATCTTTCATGCGAACTTTTGTAGTTTGAGTTTGCTTCCTAACTTTTGCAAATGAGTACATATTTATATGCACTATGAACATCACTAAATTTTTATTTTTTAATGACTAAAATATGTTTTTTGAATTAGTTTTAATTTCCACCTAGTTCGTGGTTTTCACTTGATGTTTCCCGAATCAAATGATCCTATGGTTATGATCAATTTATAGAGGATTGTACAAGTATATATTTCTTATAGTAGAAGCATCCTCCGTCAAGAAGGACAATAGCTTCCATTTGCAACCTCACCAGGTCTCTCCTGCTACATCTTATTGTAGTGATAATATAAAGAAAATATAACACAGTGGTAGTAAATAAAAGTATAACATAGTTGAATCGGAGCAATCTTTGTCTAAGCTACAATCAAAATGATACAAAGTAATTGGATAAAACTAATTGCTAGAGATGTGCTCTTACTGCTATTGTTGCTACATGTAAGGAAACATGCAGTTGTGCCCTATTTGATTGTTTTCTGTTTCAGTCTGCAAAGAGTCAGCAAGCTGCTCATGTTCGCCATTGTGGAATCTTTGTGGAATTATGCATACTAATCTAGCAATATTAAATTTGAGAATTGTAGGTACTTGACAAATTCACAGGAGATCTGAAGTCAAAGTAAAGATGAATTATTTGCATAAAAAGATGCCAACAAGATGTAAATTTGGGAGCCTATATAAGAGTCTAAGCAACCAAGAGATTGAATATTTGCATAGTAATCCAAAGAACATTGTTTATATATCTCAAAAAGGTTAAACAAAAATATGCAAAATTGTCGCACTACTTTTAGTATTTGTCTGTAAGGGAAACAATAGAACCTACAGAACGCGCTGACTTAATACAGAAAGAATGCATCGGATCAGATATAATGAACCACCCCGCACATAGCTGCTAAGCAAACGAATCGACTCACCAATGAAATCATCCACAACATGTATACCTTCCATGATTAATATTTTCATGTAGGAAGTAAGTATTGATTGTTATTAGTAATTAAGGATGTTTATCGACATTGTGGATTAATTAAACCACGTATAAACTTCACTTGCTCCTCAACTAAAACTTTGGTCTGCCGCACACATATAGAGCTCGATGTAAACAAGTAAAATACTTGCACCTACATTTAAAGAGAGAATGCTGTCTCCAACACCGTGTTAGATTGTGATAATGTACCAAATCTTTTCTCCTTAAAATAACTAAGTATTTTTCTATTGTAAGTTAAGAGATACGTGTGTTATTTTACACTGAACACTGAATCATGGCAACATGTAATTTGAAGCCCACATATATACCAATGAGATATCACTGAATGTTTTAAAAAAAGAACAGAACTAGTGCAGCTCTGCATTTCACATTAAATATAGATCGTAGTGGACAACAAGAGAGTACAGGTGAAGCATAAGCCTAAAACATTAAGTGGAATCAATATCATATATATCGAAAGGTAGAACAGTCAAACAAATAACATAATACAATAATAAAATAAAAGTGAAACAATTAAATTGACTGTACAAAATGGCATGTAAATTGCACAGGTTTCATTCTAAAGCTCGGTGTTTTATCAAAAAATGAGGCCCAAAGGTACAAAGGTTTTACTTACCTCCAAAACGTCAACAAAAACATATGGTACTAAAACTGTGAAATTTATGTATTCATATTCCAATAAAAGTGCAACAATATCTTGTTACAGTAACATATGTTATTCTCATTTGAAATATAATATATTTATAGCCTAAAAATAAACACGGATATGGCTGTTGAAGACGCATATAAAATAATCACATTTATCCACAAATCGCAGTGATGTGAATATGTGATATTTGCTAGTGTTTCATCACAACTTTAAATGGACTTGGTCAATAATCATGAAGGTACTGTTCACAAAAGCTAGACTAGATAAACACTTGCTTTCAAGAAATGGAAAGAGTACACAAAGGGACAAAAAAGAATAACTGTAAACGGTGTTTTGCTTAGCTAGAATATACATGTAGTGAATGTTACTTCTAGCATAGATAATACATAGCATACCAGACGCATACTTTGCAAAATCCACACCCTCCTGCAAAAGATCTATATTAAGGACTATCCACAAAGTTATACAACGATTAGACTAATGGATGCCAACCCAAGGTATACACACTATTTTTTTTGAGATTTAGATGATTTTTCCCATATATCAATCAAGACACCTGGGCAAGCTCTTTGAGGTGCTCGTACACTTGGCTGGCCACCACGTCATCCATTCTTTTCGAAGAGCTCATAAATTCAATGCACATATCTTTGAGGTTGCTACAATAATACTTGTCAGCTAGAGCTAACGTCGATGCCACATTGGCAACATCAAGTTTCTGGCAAAGTATGCTCTCGCACATCAATTTCATCCTTTCCAAAGCATACTTATCTGCTGCCACAAGTAAATGCTTAAACATTTAATTGTTCTCCTCAACAGCAACATCATCCATGGCAGGCAAATCTGTGTAGATGAAGTGAAGCAAGGCCTCGAAAACACCAGGCTGCATATCATCTACTATTATATTTCGCCTTCTGTTGTCCCTCATTGGCCCATAGAGCTCCACCTCGAAGACCGGCGACCGCATTGCGAGAACAAACTTATGGGCATGGAAAACCTCTCCTTCAACCTTGAATGTCACATCGGCCCTCTTCTCAGACTCCAACAACTTTCCAAGATCATCCGGCAAGTCTGAGGACGGGACCTCGATCTCGCACATTGTATCGGATGCGGACACTGGCAGCCCCAACACAACAGTGATGTCGCACTCAATCACCAGACGGTCATCCTTCAGGTATGGTGACATCTCCAGCTCGTTGCTCTTCTTAAACTTTTGATTGCCCCATGTCGAATTTGCATATTTGTACACCATCGGCTCCTTCACATTTACGAAAACCTTGGAAAGCCTAGTGGTTTGGTCGAGCAACCTCAAGTCGAAGCGTGCCATCACATATGTAGTCTTACTCATCATCTCAAGATAGACGACGCAGTATCCTTTGCCTTCTTGAGTGGCTCCTTCGTTAGGAAAGAACCGGATGCACCAGTCATGGCCGCCGACAGAGAAGGTGGAGGACCGGATGAACTTGCCAGCGTCCAGCCCCTTGAGTAGGCTATAGCCTGAGATGTCGAACACGAGCATGCATCGCTGCATCTGCAGGTCGCACCACGACACCATCTTGTTCCCTCTCCGGGATGCCGCCGTTGCTGGCATTGAGGTGGAGAGATTGAGGACAACGTTGGTGAGACTGGAGGTGGCGAAGAGAGGGGGTCGGGGGGGGGGGGTCTATGCTTTTCGCTCTACGAGGCTTGCACTAGGGAGCTTTGCTGGGGTGAGGAGAGGTGCGCGACGACAGGGAGCCAAAGCCAAAGGGGCGGGTTGGGGAATGTTTTTTTCGGACGAAATTCAACCAAATTTCATCGATAAAACTAGATTTTTTTATAGCAACGATAAAATTAAATATCAGTCAAAGTTTTTGGGTTTTTTCTGCTCCCACGCAGATGGCCCAAATTCACCCGCATGACGGTCCAATAGCACATATACCTCTTCCCAGCATATTAATATCCTAGAAATCCAACTCTTATGCCAAACGCTCTTGTTGCACAAGCCACATCCATGTTTATGACAGTGCATCCGTCATGGCCACAATCCCCTGCTCATAATATTTTATTCTTATTTTTTTATCTATGAACAAGTGATGTTTAATAGTTTAAAAATAGTTTCAAGTCATATTCTATGAATTTTTCAAAACAAATTATTTTTTTAAATTTGGTCCGATATATCATGTTTATCCACCTCCAATAAAAAAAATATTTCCCACAATGAAAACATTGATTATAGGGACGGTCCTTAGAGCTGACTTTGGTCTGTGTACTTATATTCCGAAAGGAACAGACGTTTTTTACGGTTCACAACCGAATTTCTGCCTCCGACTCCGAGACCTCCCCAACCCACGCACCAGCCCGAGCCGGACTCCCTCTACCGTCCTCAGGAAAAAAAAACACGACTCCACTCTTCCTTCGACTCGCCCCTCCGCCGCGCGCTCCAGACCGTGCCGCCGCCGACGACGACGACGACGAGCGCCCCGACTAAGCCTCAGCCGCCGAGGGCACCGTACGAGACCCTCCTGCTCGCCGCGCCGCGAGCGACGCCGGTGAAGCCCGGCGCCCGGCCCAGCCATCGCGCGGCGCTGGTGAAGCTCGCCGCGCGGACCTTGGGCCTCGGCTGGAACCCTACGCGCAGCCCGTGCCGCCCGGCGGGAGCTCCAGGGGCGGCCGGCGAGAAGCGGTCGCGGCACGTTGAGCAGCAGCAGCTTCTTCAAGTCCTCCTACACCCTCACTCGCTGCTGCCACCAGGTGTGCCAACCCCTTCTCTTCCCTTCTTGCTGTGTAAAACCGAGCACCCAACCCTAACTTAAGCTAATTGGCTATTTCTATTCCGATCTGATCTAATTACTTGTGTGTACATGTATTATGCCTGCTATGTGTCCACAATGTCCAGTACCAGTAGATTGATTGGCAAAATGAAAATTCTTCAGCTAGGGCATATATCAAAGGAAACTATTGCTAGACAGATTGGTTGATAGTGTGCTCCCAGGTATATAAAACTACAAATTGGTTGATAGCGTGCTCCCAGGTATCAGACGTAGCAAACTCTGCTTCTTCCCTGTGTAATCAGGGGTGCTCCCAAGTATATGTTCTTCAATTGATTCTTCATCAATAAAGGGTCCTGTGTTTTAAATTTACTCAGCAGTTTCTAGAGAGGGGGCGTGCACTGGGTTGAGAGAAAGGTGCGCACATTGGGTCTCTACGCTCTCATGGTGTTTGTTGAAAAGGGATTTTGGTTGTAGCGATTGATGCGATTTAATTTGATTCAGTGAGCAACATGGGATAGTCGGTGCCAGTCATTTGCTCTTGTTCAGTGTTCAGTCATTTACTCTTGATTTGTTTTTGTTTGGTGATCGATGCTCAGATACATTAGTCGGACAGTGATTAGAGTGGCCCGGCCAAGGACCATCCAACCATGCATCAATTAATTATGCCCTGCACAGTACCACTGCTTTAGGGACAAAGAATTTATCATTTTCGGGTCCTGAACTCTATCATTAATATAAATCAAGGCAGGTCTGCTGGCCATTATGAAAAGTCAAAAGTGTATTCTTACTATGCTGAATTCTTACTATACAAATATTAAAAAGGCAAGTTGTCACACCCTCAGTAGTAAATTAATGAGTCCTCGCAACAAATGAAATTATGTAAGTGTATAATGGTCCTTGCATTGAAATTATGATGTGCTTTACACTAAATAGAAATTTTATATTAGGTTTTCTTGAGCTGTAATTTTCAACGAAAAACCAGTAGCTGTTGCCTGTTAGTATACCTCAGCATGCTTAGAAGTTGTAGCCACCTCTAAAAAAAATATATATGCAGCAATTATCTTCAAACTGGTAGTGAGTTGGTGGTAATTGGTCACAGTGAACAGTGCAAATCAAGACGTATTGTTTGACAAAATTTATATTCTGTGTATGGGATACAGTATTTTCCAAACCTACAAATATATGGCTAAATGTTATCAATTCTAAATGCAGGACACCTACCTCTAAAGTTTTATCTGAAGCCAAATCTTTTTATGATTCTTGTATCCCTACGAGAATATCTTAGCCGACTTATCGATCATGCACTTATTTTGACATTGTTACTAAATTTGATGCTTATTTATTTGAATGTGGCTCGAAACAGTATGTTGCTAGGCCAAGTTAAAATTTATTTGTCTTGATTTCGACCAACTATTTTTTTATACTCTTACTGCGTTGAAAATTTGAGGCTCCTAACCGATTTTATTTTTTTCTTACTTTTAATGTGTTGAATTGATTGAAATTTGTAAGGTTCCGTAGCAACACAGGAAGGAGAATGATTCATTGGCCATCTGCTAGTGATTCAGAAATCTGAACCCTCCGGCCGCTATCATTGGCCACCCTCGCCGACAGGAAGGAGAATGACTTCGACCTCCAGGAAGAGGAAACGTGCTTCTCCTCCAGCAGGAATGACCTCGACCTCTTCCTCTTGGAAGAGGAAGCGTGCTTCTCCGGCGGGGCCAATCGGTTAGTCACCTGCGGTGTCTCTCTATCCCAATTCCCACCCCCGTGCGAGGATTAGAATGTAAACCCTATATCGGACCCTAGTAGAAATGCATACATGCCAAATGCCATGGGGGATTGATCTGGCAAAGCGATTTCCGGCGTGGTGCTCGAAGCCCATCCGGATTAGACCCCGCCTCTGTCCCTCCACTCCATCGTGATTTAGCGTTGCCGTGGCGGATTGGGCAGAGGCGTCAAGCAATGGCCTTTAGCTCCACAGATGGTGCCACGCTTGATATCTGAATTAACGATTGATCTTAGCACATTATTTATTTTATTTAATCCTGCTAAGTTTGCTTATGTGTTCACAGGGAACTATGAACTGGTCTCGTTGCTGCTTGAAACTCCCTCCGGCTTTGCCATTTTCTCTATGTATGGGCATCACTTCAATAACTCCGCCTATGTTGTCTCAACATAGCAGGTCCCAAGCCCTGGTAAAGGAGGAGGGTTGTGATAGGCGTGGCGAGCCAACGTTAAATCTAGCCATTCTAATGGAGATGAAACCCGAAAGAAAACCGTTGAGGCGCAACCCTCTTAGCGACGCCATATATCGAACCCGGGTTATGGCCGACGACGACGAGCGCCCTGTTAAATGGGCAAGGCAAGGCCGGCATCGCGCGGCGCTTGAAGCCCACCGCGCGGACCTTGGCCTTGGACCCGTGCCGCTTGGTGACGCTTGAGCCGTGTCGCGATCTCGGGCATGGTGTCAAGTGAGCGAGGATCGGGTCGTTGCTTCCTTAGTGGCACGCTACATCGGCCGCCCAGTGTAGTGAAAAATGAGCAAGGATCTTCACATCCGAGTTGGTTGATAAAAGTGCGAAGGGTAAGGAAACTAGTCGAACCAACTAGGATCCGTTTAGGTAGTTGGAATGTAGGGTCGCTTACAGGTAAGTTAAGAGACTTAGTTGATACCGCGACTAGTCTTAATAAGACAAGTTATGGAGCGGTATAGGGAGAAGAAGAATGACCTACACATGGTTTTTATTGACTTGGAGAAGGCTTATGATAAAATATCAAGGAATGTTATGTGGTGGGCTTTGAATAAACATAAAGTCCCAACGAAGTACATCGGGCTCATTAAGGACATGTACAACAATGTTGTGACTAGCGTTCAACAACAAGTGATGGAGACACGATTCAGTGAGCATGACTTCCCAATTAGGATAGGACTACATCAAGGGTCAAAGCTTTGAGCCCTTATCTGCTTGCCTTAGTGATGGATGAGGTCACAAGGGACATACAAGGGGACATCCCTTAGTGTATGCTTTTCAAATGACGATGTAGTGCTAGTTGATGAAAGCCTTAATAAGAGTGAATCGTAAACCTGAAGTTATGGCGGGAGACTTTGGAGTCCAAAGGTTTTAGACTCGTGAGAACTAAAATCCAGTATATGAGATGTGACTTATACTACTACTACTGGAAGAGTAAGATATTAGTTTGGAAGGTCAAGTAGTGCCTAGGAAGGATACATTTCGATATTTAGGATCAATGCTACAGAGAGAGATGCTGGGATATTGATGAAGATGCTAGCCATAGAATTAAAGCGAGGTGGAAATGCAGGTGGCCAATCATCCGGTGTCCTATGTGACAAAAGGGTACCACTGAAGTTAAAAGGCAAGTTTTATAGAAACGGCGATTAGACATGCTATGTTGTATGGTGCGAAATGTTGGCCTCTTAAAAGACGACATGTTCAATGAGATAAGTGTCATGCGGAAATACGTTTTTTTATGTTGCGTTGGATTTGCGGTCATACAAGAAGGGATCGAGTTCGGAACGATGATATACGTGATAGATTAGGGGTGGCACCAATTGAAGAAAAGCTTGTCCAACACCGGTTGAGATGGTTTGGACATGTACAACGGAGACCTCCAAAGGCACCGGTGCGTAGTGGAATCCTAAGCCAGGATAGTAACGTGAAAAGAGGCAGAGGAAGACCGAAATTGACTTGGGTAGAGGCAATAAAAGGAGACTTGAAATGATGGGATATACCCAAAGACTTAGCCTTATATAGGAGTGCTTGGAAAACAACTATTCACGTGCCTGAACCTTGATTGCTTCTGCTGGGTTTCAACTCTAGCCTACCCCAACTTGTTTGTGACTTAAAGGCTTTGTTGTTGTTGTTGTTGTATGGGCATCACTTCAATGACCCAGATGCTCTGGAGGTACTTGCTTTGTTATTCCCTTTATGTTTGCTGTTTATTTGCCTAATTTTTCTGTTTTCTTTGTCCTGCAGAATATCTGGGCACACTTCGGTGAGGAGTATAGGACAAAAGATGTTAGTGCCCCCCTCTTCTCCCGCTGCACCTACTCACTTCTTTCTTTTCCTTCCTATCTGCTTATGTTGTTGTCTGCAATTATTTACAGAGTATTGATCCTAGAATATCTGCTACATTTATTATCTGCACCATTCATGATCTGCGTATTCATTTACAGTTTTTTTTTTGTTTATAGGGGAGGAATATGATCACAAGCATGCCATTTGTTATTTATTTATTTATTTATTTATTATAATCAAATATTCTTCACGTTTTTTTTCCCAGTAAACCTAGATATGGTTGTTCTGCAACATGGTAGTACAACCAAAGAACACCAGGGTTTGTCTGTTTAGAAGGTGGGTCGAGATACCTTTTTAGCACAAAAATTTACTCTGGGGTGCATTGCAAAATCTCAAGGATATCAAGAAATATCTTTTGAAATTGTGATTAGTGTTTCAAAAAGTGGTGCTAGGCATTATGTTTTGATAAGCGAGCGATGTGACTTACGATCAAATTGAACTATTCACATCATTTTTCCTAGCACCTAGGCGTTGCATAACTGTTCTCCTGAGCTTGGTCTATGTTGGGATGTGGGGAAAATTGGATGTGAATATGGTACGTGGTTATCAAATCATGGATAGATGTGATGTCATTTTCTCTGATTTCATCTGTTTAACATGTCACAAGTCAATGCCTTGAAAATAGTATGATTGCCTTGGCTTGCTTGGCGGAGATGACTACTTGGCGCCTAGACTGAATTTGCTTGCTCCATGATTAGGACATTAAGTGATCTTTGACTAATTGTCTCTTATTTGCTCCCTTATTCATTTCTTTATCAGATCGTTTGGCTGAAAGAGTTCAAAACTTTCAAGGACAAGTCCAGTGCCATTAATCAGGATACTGGTGTTAATTGGGAACTTGCTGATATGATCATGAGATGTTGCTATCCTTCATGGACATTGTCTGTTGGAAATATGGAATATAAAAGAATCATTGAAAAGAGCTTGGTTAGTTAGAGCTCCCTCAATTGTTTATTACATGTTTGTGAACAAATTTGAGCACCAATTTTGCTGTCATTCATTTCAGCCTGTACGTTGTCTGTTCAATGAAACTGTGATGGAAGCGATGTGGGGCCTGAAGAATCTCATGCACGTTTTAGTACCCGGAGAAGAACTCAAGCTGACAAAGAAAGATCGCCTACCAATGAACCAAGGACTAAAATGGCTGATGGATCGTCATGGCTTCGGTGTGAAACCAGAGATGGTGAGTTCAGCAGTTGACTTCCTTGATGTATCGACATTCTGCTTTGTGGTTTACGTCTTCATTTATTGTGACACTATTATGAGGGTGTTTGGTTCCCTGCCGTGGTTTGCCACGACTAACATTCGGCACGCCACGCAATACAAGCCTGCTCCGTGGTTTATGCAAAAGCTGCGGTAGCCACACTGCTCTTTTCAGCACAAAACTCTGCCACAGTTGTGGTGTCGATTTTTGGCGCTGCAGCTGGGCGTGGCAGTCCATGGTCGGCAGTCAAACATGTCCTATATCATAGTTTGTGCAGTGCACTGTGCACCCATAGAAATTCATAATTATCCCTGCCCAAAGCTTTTGGTGCTATGTTTTAACCTTTTCGTTGTCTTTTTCCTGTTAGTGACTGCACAATGCTCACCTGTACCCAGGTCTCTGAAGCAATGATTATGGTGGCATGTGTCTTGCATGATTCTGATATTTGTGAGAGGAATCTTTCTACCCCGCTGCGCTTAGGTGGTGACCTCCTTCAGGTGGTGTCTGGCGTTAACTGTAAGGGTTGGGATTTGATGAAACTTGCGACGGCTCTGAAGATCATATGTGACCCTCCAGGAACAACTTTGGCTGAAAAAGAGGTACACAATACACAATAAATTTTGTAAATCTTTATTTGTGGAAATTTATCATTCATGTGAGGGACCAAAGCATGTTTTCTTTCAGTTGTTTACAGGAGATGAGCTATCAATGCTGTTGATGGATGTGCATAAATATAAAAATAAGCTTGCTAAGGCTATCTCCAACAACATTACCTAAAATACAAGACCCATTTGACGTTTGGTAGCGCTACAGGTAAAGGATTCCGTACCTATTTTTGGTCTTCTTCAACAACAGGACCCAAAAGATAACCCTTTATGCAAATGAGTCTCCAGGAGAGAGAACACTCATATTTGGGTTGTGCCTTTGCTGTAACCCAAAATGAGTCTCGCATATAGGTGCTCTGTTGCGAGAGTGATTCAGTACCATTCGAGATCCATTTTGGGTATGGGTGTCCATATGGGACATCCATTGGAGACAGTCTAAGGGCACTTGGTTGGGAGTCCACAAAAGAATGATGATGGTCCATGATTTTAGGGCTCGGGCCCAAAAATTAATGGTGTTGTTCGTTATGGATGCCAAAAGAACATTTGAAGCCAAAAGAGCATTGCAAGCTAAAAGAAGGGTTATAAAGAAGCAGCTATCTGTGAAGCTTGGACTGTGGCCAAAAAAATATTGGTGGTTTAGGCTCGGTCCAAATAAGTCTCATGTTGCTACTGCGAATGGGTACGCCCTTTGCTACTGTGAATGGGTAACTGGTTGGTTTGCATTTGATCTTGGGTGGTATGGTTGCGTGAAACCACCATGAACCCAACTGTTAGACATCTTGTCTTGTGTTTGTGTTTCGGTTACTGCACTGGGAACTTCTATTATGTAATAATATTGACCAGTGTCTTATTTACTCTATCGTGTTTTGAAACTTTACTTTACTCCTACCTCACAGAAACAGTGTTTCTATACCTGGACTGCTTGGCACCTGTTTCGAAATGCTTAACTGGGATCAGAGAGGATTTGGTCTTAGAAACCTCACCAACTCTTCTAAGTGTTTGCTTCAAAAAAAAGTCTTTTAAGTGTTGGCAGTTGATCGACCAAAAGCAAATTCCGTGTGACAAGACTTGCCTCGTATGGATATCAAGAATATTATTGTATTATTCTTAAGGCCACACAGTTATTAATAACGCCTACTTATTTCTGTAGTTCCTTATCACTAATGGCAATGCGAATTTCACATGATTTGGTGCATTCGGTTGCATCTGCATTTCCCATGATTTGGTGCTTGCTCTCCTTTCATTTCATTGAACCGAAGTGATGATCCATAATCTCTGTTTGCTATATCGCTAGCCTTTACCTCCACTAGCGGATCCGTTAGCCCATAATCATAACATGTGTTGCTAACACCAATGTTGATTTTGGTGCCAAGTCTCATGAATCCAAAATTCGTATCTAATAATCTACATGGCCTACAACCATCCAGCGGTAATATTACCATGGCAACGTGTAATTTGTCTCCCTTCACAGACGCTGAGACCCAACGCAACATTGCCTTCTGATACATTGCCTTTTGCTTTTGCTTTTGCTTTAGCACAAAACATGGTGATCAAGTTGATAACCAGTAGTTTTCTTTTTTCACAAGGGGATTTTCCCCAGAGACGCGCCTGTTCACGAACTACCGCCCGAACTGGCACCACGACACGCCTGTTCTCTCTACCAATACATGCTTCTTGATGAACCTACTGCATTTGAAGATTGTGGTAGAGTATCTCACTCACGGCAAGGTGTTCGAAGGGTGCTTGATGTTTTTAGTATACATGTGAACCAATCAGACGATTCTTCCATCCGTTTTTTTACTTTATTTACATAATAATGTCTACCGCCGCCTCTCTCTGTTTCATCTGTGATCTTGGCTCACAACATGCGCTTTTAAGAATTAAATCTACGTGTACTCGTGCGTCCAACGTTGGTACAGAATTTGATTTTAATACATATCGAAGCAGATGACACGACCACTATATAAATCTTCGAGTTACGAGTTATTTAAGTGACCATAAACAAGGCTTATGTTATGTACGACGCATTGACGGGAATTGGCTCGCCGCTCACGGCTCGCCGCTCACCGCTCACCGCAGGCATTTCGGCGGGCGAGCACGACGGGTGAACAAATCGGGCTGCGGCCGTTGCTGTCACGTCGCGCACCTTACAGACCGCTACGCCCAATGTCCAATGGGCGCGCTTCGGGCTCCGGCACGACGAGAAAGAAGAGGCGTCTCAGGCGTGAGCCAGCAAAGAACGCAACTGCGATTCGATCCTCTCGGGCCTCGGCGATCGCCCGTCTCGTTCGCGTGCTGCCGCAACGCAGCTCGCAGCAGTGGGAGGCAGACCGTATCGTGCGTGGGCCATGACGTAAAGCGCGCTGCTAAAATTACTCGTGCTCAAGAGGCAAAAAAAAAGGCACGGCTCCGTTCGCCTTACCTTAAATTCGACTCGTTTGATTTTTTTTTTTTTCAACTGGAACAGTGTTTTTCTCTCACAATATTTTAGCTAAAATATTATTTTTCAGTTATTTTTAGCCAAATTTCAGCAAACCGAACGGCCAGTTTGGTTGGCCTGCCTGCGTGGCTGCCGCTGCTTGTGCATGTCAGCACGTGTACGAACAGAACGAACGCTATGGGCAATTGGGCAGAGAAAAAGCATAGAAACATTATAGTACTACCTCCCAAAACCATCTTGTCATTCAAGTAAAAAATTTGTCATTGTCATTCTAGTAAAAAAATTGTTATTGTGCTTAACCGTACACGTACCCCTCTTCTGTCCGCCTAATTCGTATCCACATCGCTGATAATATCACTATAAGGATTTGACCTTTATAGCACCACTTGTTTTCACAACACTATACATTTGGTTGTAATATTTGGTTCTATAGCAACAAAAGTCATAATTGTTAGCAATATATTGGCCTTATGGCCACCAAAATTATGTGTTGCGTGTTTGCAAGAGGTAGGCTCTAATGCCATGGTGGAAAAAGTGGTTGCGAGTATGGGTGCCTAATACCACACGTAGTGTTGAGTTGTGATAACATTGATGTTGCGTTGAGATAGCTAGATGTTGTTGCCACTATTGTAAAGTTGATTGCAAGTAGTTACACATATAGCAATAAAGTTGGTTGCATATTTGCTACATTTATTAACAGCAGTGGGAGTTGCACATATGCACATATGAAAAAGCATAGTAGCTGGGCTGGGAAGCATAGCATAGAAAAGCATAGAAACATTATAGTACTGCCTCCCAAAAATATCTTGTCATTCAAGTAAAAAATTTGTCATTGTCATTCTAGTAAAAAAATTGTTATTGTGTTTAACCGTACACGTACCCCTCCTCTGTCCGCTCAATTCGTATCCACATCGCTGATACTATCACTAGAAGGATTTGACCTTTATAGCATCATTTATTTTCACAACACCACACATTTGGTTGCAATATTTGATTCTATGGCAACAAAAGTCATAATTGGTAGCAATATATGGGCCTTATAGCCACCAAAATTATGTGTTGAGTGTTGCAAGAGGTAGGCGCTAATGCCATGGTGGAAAAGGTGGTTGCGAGTATGAGTGCCTAATACCACACTTAGTGTTGAGTTATGATAACATTAATGTTGTGTTGAGATAGTTAGGTGTTGTTGCCACCACTGTAAAGTTGTTGCAAGTAGTTGCACATATGACAATAAAGTTGGGTGTAAATAGTTATAGAATATTGATCCTAGAATATTTGCTACATTTATTAACAACAGTGGGAGTTGCACATATGCACATATGAAAAAGCATAGGCAGTGTTTGGCGGGCTCCGGCTCCGGCTCCGCGGCAGCTCCGGCGGAGGAGCCGCACCAAACGCGCTGGCCTTTTGCACGTACGGAGGAGGAGCCCGGATTTACGGCTTCGCAGCTCTGGCTCCGGCTCCCGCAACGGAGCACTGCGGGTGGCGCCCGGCCAAACACGGCCATAGTAGCTGGGCTGGGAAGCATAGCATAGAAAAAGCATATGCTGATTATGCTTTTCGCGGTGCTGGCGCTTACGTGGATGGATAAGGGCAGCGCCAGGAGATGGATGTGTAAGTGTCCGGCTGACAAATCGGAAGAAGCGGTCGTGGCGCTTTTTTCCTCTCAGCCGGTATATGGCTTCACAGGCAAAACCAGATGACAGTGCACGTACGTACGCTGGGGCTTGGCCCGCGGTTTTCTGCCCCTGTCCTGGACCTGCTCTGCGTCGTTCCTTGTGGGCTGTGGCAACTGGCAAGGACGAGGAAGCTGCATGTCGGTGGGCGGTTGCCGGTTACCGACGTCCGGCCTGTCCGTTCCACTTCCACATCGCAAAGCCCAGGCCGCAGCATCAGCACGCCGGGTCAGCGCCTCACGCCCTCACACGGGTAGGGAGAGAGAGGACTGTACGCACATGCTCGGATCCTCAAGATGGCATGACATGGAATGGAAGTACTACTAGTATGGAACACAGTCGGCGGACCCGCGACGCCACGCAATCGCGTGGTCGGGAGCCCAGGACCCTGCAAAAGTCTCCATCCCATCCATCTCCCCGGCATTGCGAGCCCAGGACTTGGAGCGCTGTGGATCGGGCATAAACTCTGTCGTCAGGAAGAAAAGGAGAGCATCGTTTCGGTGTTAACGGCACATATACGATGGTCATATATGGACGATGGAGTGGCGTGTAGCATGGTGCATGCACCAGAGAACTCCGGATTCCGTCTTTTTTTTTGAGAGAGAGAAATGAGATGGGGTATTTAGAGTATCTGATCTATCTTTTGCGTATTTGAAAAAAAAAAAGAGTATCTGATCTGGAACGAACGGTCGGTGGACGGTGGGGAACTTGTTATTCGGATAAGTAATCGTGCTCCCGAATTTTAGTCGCGGATAAACAACAATACCCAGACATGCGTAGTGGGAATGAAGCATAAGCATCTGCTACGACTACGACGTCTGTTCCTTCCTTCGTCTCAGCGTATCGTGCACCGTTGATATCCGGATAAGCGTGTCATTCTCATCATAAGAAAAAAGAAAAGAAAGGGGTAGTAAGCGGGTCGTCCCTGCACATACTGCCGTGCAGTCAGTTACTAGGCCCCAAATTCTAAGATCAATTTTTAACCGCTTGACGGGGAAGTATTAAATGTAGGTAAAAAAATAACTCTGTCTTTTGGGGATAATATTTGTCAAATAAGGCGACCTCTCGATTGCCGACCTCTCGATTGCCGCTACACCTTCCTTTTGCTTTCGAGACGTCGTGGTCGATGGGCAACGCCTCAGCTGCTGATCTGATCGATCGCGCCGTGAAAGCGACGGCGGTCCGGCCGGCCTGTATGATTCACGCGCCATAACTCTACTGCATGCTTGTCTACTTCACTGCTGCCATCGACGTACAGTTCAGAACTGAGCCTGCCGAGGGGATAGCGACGACGCACGCCATCCTCTGCAGGTCGATTAGTTCCTCCTGCTGGCCGCTTTAAGGGGTGTTTGGTTCTTTAGTCACTCCTAAAATTTATGTCACATTAAATGTTTAGAAATTTAATAAAGAGTCTAATAAAGATGAGATTAAATATAAATTAATTATAAAATCAATTACATAGATGGAGGCTAATTTTGAAGCGCTTTAACTTTTCTTCAGAGCGTTGTCAAATCATGGACTAATTAGTATACGACAAATTAGTCGCAAGTTATGCAATTAGTTTCGTAATTAGTACATATTTACTCTGTTCTTACCCCACCGGATTTTAGCTGAACGAATTCACTCGCTAATCCCGCACTGTATTCTGCTCATCTACTGCATCTGTATTCTGTGTATATATGCGTATAACCTATTACGGCTTGGATAGTAGCAACAGCGTCACAGTCGAGTTACGTTGCCGTTACCCGTCACTCCCCGTCAGCGTGCCGTGGTTCAAACGGTGATGGATGCAGACGACCCAAGTTGGCCGTGAGCGCACAAATTAAAGGACGTCAGTGCTTTGGTGGCTTTGTAGTGTCGGCCATGTTTTTGTTGTGATGGGTAGTTTATATTGTTGTTTTCCGTTGAGGGTGGTCGTTTTTCTTAGTGCGTGGAGGTATTGCAAGTTGTTTCTTTTCTCTCTCCATTAATACATGCCCACCGAAGCTTCTGTATGAGGCTTTTCGAAAAAAAAAGAAGCTACCTCTGATGAACACGTGGTAATTTTTTTATAGAGTTATACAGCATATATTCGTTTCTATTTGAAACGATCGTGATTATTATCACTACTTTGGTTTTGGGTTTGCCATGAGAGAAAAAATACTTTATTACGCTTATAATCGCGATCGCTTACTATCAAGTCAATAGTACCGATAGGGCATTCACCCCTGTCTTAAGCATTGCAAAGACAACAAAACATCCGTTACAACAGTCAGGTGGGACACACCATTCCATCAGTTTACGTGGTAATTCTGTGCTAGCTACGAGCACTTCATCATACAAACGGAGCCGACAGGTTTTCAGAGCGACAAAGCCATGACACCTGCCCGACCGTAGACGGGCATACGCTGCTTCTTGTTATAACAATTTCTAAAAAAAAATCATGTGGGCCTGGAGGACCGCCCTTGTGTGCGTGAATCCATGTGCCTCTGGCTCACCCCTTGTCCCCCGCTCGACGCACCAGGGTCACGGCGCCAGGCCGCCAGCCGAATAATCCCAAACACAAATAAAGTGCGCGAGTATCAATAAAAATATTATCCAAAATACAAGACTTATTCTATGTTTAGATAGTATTATAAAAAAAAGGTTTAATACTCATTTTCGGTCTTCACCAATAATAAGATCTAAAAGATAACCATTTATATAAATGAGTCTCCAAGAGTGAGAATACCCATATTTAAATTGTGACTCTGCTGCAACCCAAAATAGATCTCACATATAGGTACTCTGAGACCTAAACAGTAATGTCCTATATCCATTTTAAGTTTGTATGCCATATGAGTAAGCTGTTGGAGACAGGGGTCATTCTTCTTTTTCGCAATCATGTGATCATGTAATTTCATAAAAAAAATCATGTGAATGTCGCGTGTTTAGTTTCAGTAAGTTGAAATTTGGGGCTATTGTAGCATTTTCGTTTTTATTTGGCAATTAGTGTTCAATTATAGACTAATTAGGCTCAAAACGTTCGTCTCGCAATTTCCCACCAAACTATGTAATTAGTTTTTTTTTCGTCTACATTTAATGCTTCATGCACGGGCCGCAAATATTCAATGTGATAGATACTGTAGCACTTTTTTAGAATTTGGGATGAAACTGAACACGCGCTTACGTTTTCTGAACAAAAGAAACACGCGAGTCAGAACGGCACCGACCGTGCGCATTGTTTCATTCAGCGAGACGCTGCAGCGTGCGCCCTCACGAGCTCTGCTAACCTACGATGACACATGGGGTCCCCGCACGGGTGGGGCACCGCTGTCTGTGGCCTGTGCTGTGTCTCAGGTTGGGCTCGTTTCCTTTTTTGTTTGGTGGCGTCTGGCGTGGACGACGCTGGTACTGTGACGGCAGGAGCAACCGAGTACCGAGCAAGCAAAGCTCTGAGTCTGCGCTCTTCATTTCTGCACCCTGGGTAAAGCCGTAAATACAACTTGACCCTCGATGCAGTGGAGAGCTTGTCGCTGCTCGCGGTCGACCTATGTAATTCCAATGCAATACGCTGAAAAGCCTGAAAGCAAACTTGCTTGCTTAAGAAAAGAAGGATGCTTTTTTGTGACTGCGGATAATAATAAAAAATCTTCAGTGTAAACCTTGCAACAGGATTCTTTAGGCACTTCAAATACAATAGGATTCTCAAAAAGTTGCACGAGATATCCCATACTTATATATCATATAAATTCTCAGAAAGTTGCACAAGATATACCTATATATATGTACACAGGCAAATACAAATACACTGAGCTGAAGTTTTGTCTGTGTGCAGTAACAGAGGCCGAAATTTTTCTATTTTCAAAAAAGAAGAAGCTCAAGCTTAAGTTTGACTTTCTAGATTAAAGGTTTTCAAAATCAATTCCAAGGAGAGACACTTTAACTTCGATTTGTTCTAGATAAAACTTTTTTACAAGACTAACCGTACCTGTCGCTGAACACGAAAACAGCCAGCACCAGAGCAAATCGTTTATGACTCCTCGCCGTCGTCGGAGCTAGTTCGCCGTCAGCCGAGTCCCCAGACCGCTGCCGGTTTCTGTCGGCGTGCTAATACTCCGGGACTCCGGGGTCCCCACCGGAAAAACGTCCCCACACAGCTGCGTCGCACCTACCCCCTCCTCGTCCGCCTATAAAAGCCGGCTCGCCCCCTCCCGCTCCTCTCTTCTCCCCGTCTCCATTTTTTTCCTCCCATCGATTTTGCATTTTAGCCCCTCAGGAAGCTCCGATTTCGCGTCCGGTCCGCCGGCCCGGTTCCGTTCGTGCTCTGCTCCGATCGAGCGCGCCGCCCCGTGGGGGACCGCTGCGAGGACTGTCGTTCGGCGGGTGTGGTTCTCGGCTCGGTTCCGTTTCTTCCCGCACAAATCTCGTCTTTTTTGGTTCAGATTTGGCTTCTGGGCGCCCTTCTGGGTGTTTCTCGTGCGTTTCGGCTTCGGTTTCGCCGATTTGGTGCTGGATTCGGTGGGTTCGTGCCGCGTAGCCTGGATCTCCGGCGCGGGTCTAGCGTTAGGAGCCCTCCGATTGGGGATTTCCTGCCGGAGGAAGCTTTTCAAGGGAGCTAGCTGCCTTTGGAAGCAGGAGCAACTCTCCCAGTCTCTGAAGGTTTCACCGTGCGCGGTGGAGAGCGATTAGCTTGAGGAGTAGTCTGGCAGGCTTGTTTATCGCGTGGGGTTTTGGGTAGATTTCGTGTAGTGCTGAGCAAAGTCTGGGTGTCAAGTCTGGTGGTGGAAGCCCTCAGGCTGGAGATTTCCTCCCTCACGACGCCGAAGGAGGACACCGGCTTTGGAAGGAATTTCCTGCCATCCTAGAGGTTTGCACTTCCTCCTTTGGCAAAGCTAGATTTTCCTTGCTAGTTGTCTTGCCTTGCACAGTTGCACCGAGTAGTTTGGTTGCTGATTGAGTCTTTGTTGTGAAATGTCAGGCTGCCGATTTCCTCCCTAGCAAGAAGCCAAGTAAGGGCTTTCTTCTAGAGGAGCTCTTCCAGTTCTTTTAAGTTTGTGGGCCGTGGCTGTTTAATCTCCATCTGCATCCCAAGATAATCACATTTCTGTGAGACTGGGAACTCCGGATTTAGTTTGGATAAGGTGTTCTGGGAATGGGGAACCAATGCCCAAACGGGACCCTTGGGAGTGACTACTACAACCGCCCTGAGTCTAGGTTCGCTGATGGATGCCTCGAGGACGATCGCTACTCTGACTTGAAGAAGTCTGACAAGCCATGGCCTGAGGTGAACTCATTTAAGCCCACTGCTGCTGGTATTTTGAAGAGGGGATTGGATCCAACATCTATCACTGTCCTTGAAAGGAAGACGGCGGACCTAAGGGAACATTATATCATTGGTCGGAGGCTTGGTCAAGGCCAGTTTGGCACAACATACCTCTGCACCGAGATCAGTACAGGGTGTGAGTATGCATGCAAGACCATCCCAAAGCGCAAGCTCATCACCAAGGAGGATGTTGAGGATGTGCGCCGTGAGATCCAGATAATGCACCATTTGTCAGGTCACAAGAATGTTGTTGCCATCAAGGATGTATATGAGGACGGGCAGGCGGTGCATATTGTGATGGAGCTCTGCGCTGGTGGGGAGCTCTTTGACCGAATTCAGGAGAAGGGGCATTACAGCGAACAGAAGGCTGCAGAGCTTATAAGAATCATTATTAGCATTGTGGCCATGTGCCACTCACTTGGGGTTATGCACCGTGATCTAAAACCAGAGAACTTCCTCCTTTTGGATAAAGAAGATGATCTGTCAATAAAAGCAATTGATTTTGGTCTATCCGTGTTCTTCAAACCAGGTAGGACATCAAATTTGATGTGTAGCAAGGCATTCTTTATTTATTGCTATTTTAAAGCTACAGTGTAATGCCATAGTGTTTACATGTCTACCTTGCTTACAAGATATTGTAGCGAGATAGTAGTGATGCCTAATGTTATCGTCTGCAAGCATCCTTGAACCTGACCCTGAGCAACAAACTACTCTACAACACTAAGCCATGACCTATGCATTGTACAGTCTCACTGATCCGAAATTCATACAATTATTTACTCCGGTAATGTTTCTGCTTGTTATATGGAATATGATAGACTAATAAGTTACGGCGTGCTATGCACCTATGCCCCTGTTCATCAAGGCTTATTGTTGTTTATCAGACTCAGTTCATATCGATCAGTTTTGCGTTCTCTGTGTGAGTTCTGATGGGTTTATGGATTAAACCTTGATTTATTTTTTATATTCAAAACTGCAGGTCAGGTTTTCACTGAGCTGGTTGGAAGCCCATACTATGTTGCTCCTGAGGTACTACACAAACGGTACGGACCAGAAGCGGATGTGTGGTCAGCTGGAGTGATACTCTATGTTTTGCTTAGTGGGGTGCCACCTTTTTGGGCAGGTTACTTCTATTCTCAGGTGTTATATTCAGCCATTCAGGACAACTATATTTCTGAATTGCTAATCAACATGATTTGTTTTACCAGAGACACAACAAGGTATATTTGACGCTGTCCTGAAGGGGCACATTGATTTTGACTCAGATCCATGGCCTAAGATATCTGAAAGTGCAAAGAATCTCATAAGAAAGATGCTCTGCCCTTGTCCTTCAGAGCGTCTGAAAGCCCATGAAGTACTACGTAAGTATATCTTAAATCTTGCCTTCATCTTCAGTCAATTCAGTTGCTGCTGTCTAGCTGTTAGCTCTGTTTGCAGCATAGGTTATGCTCCTCGCATTGTTTTAGGAATCACCAAATTCATACTTCTTTACTGGTGAAACTGAAATATATGCTTGCCAGGCCATCCTTGGATCTGTGAAAATGGAGTGGCCACTGATCAGGCTCTTGATCCTAGTGTTCTCTCTCGGCTCAAACAATTCTCTGCAATGAACAAGTTAAAGAAGTTGGCTCTGAGAGTGAGTATTATATTTACTTCACTACTTTCATCTTTATATTCCAATCATGATCGTGCATGTTTGATTGAACTTTGTAAGAGTTTTTTTTTGTTGTTGTGCCTTATAATTTGTCCCTTTTGGATCTGGAAATGTTTTAAACTTTTGGCTGCATATGTATTTGGCATCTTCTGTTAGACAATTGCCTTAATCTCATTTGGACTGTACCTTACAATATTAGATTCAAAGCTACATACATATTCCAATTAACACAATAACTCATACATGCTAATAAGTGGTCATGGATGCAGTTAGTTGCCTCCATATGAGCTACAGCATTTCCAGGCTGACCACCCTGATTCTTTTCACTCTACGTGGGGATACAATGCACTAATTATTCTAGGGTTTGGGATTCAGTTCAAAATACTGGAATATGCATTATAATCAATTTTGTTTTGCCTTTGATAATGCATTCTGCAATTTTCAGTTATGTCAACACTAGATGTTAGTTTTTCTGACTCTTTATGTACCTCCAGGTGATAGCTGAACGGCTTTCTGAGGAAGAGATTGCTGGGTTAAGACAAATGTTCAAGGCAGTGGATGTTCAAAATAGAGGTGTAATTACTTTTGGTGAACTTAGACAAGGTTTAAGAAGTTATGGTACTGAATTGGAGGATAGAGAAATTAGTGATATAATGGAAGCGGTAAGTGTAATTAGTTGCCTTTCATTTAAATTTCAGTAACCAAATCATGCATTTGTGTTACAGGACCTGCTGTTAGCCCGTCACAATGCATTTTTCAACACCTAAGGAAAAGTATCTAAACAATGCATTTATTACATAATAGCAACTCTCCTCTATTCTTGTATGCCATGCATCTGTTTTTAGATAATATCTGCTCCATTGAAGTGCTTCAGCTAAAATTCTTGAATCTTTCACAGGCTGATAAAGACAATAATGTGACCATCAATTATGAAGAATTTATCGCTGCAACTGTGCCTCTTAACAAAATAGAACGTGAGGAGCACTTGATGGCAGCTTTTACTTACTTCGACAAAGATGGAAGTGGTTATATCACAGTTGACAAGCTTCAACGAGCTTGTGGAGAACATAACATGGAGGACACATTCCTTGAAGAGATAATTTTAGAAGTTGACCAAAACCATGTAAGTTGGTTGTCTAATGCCAAAAGATTTTTAGCACTAATGTCCATCACTTGGGGGTACCTAAACATGTCGACCTCATTCTAGACCTTTGAGTCATGTGGGGCCGCGTTGTAGGAAAACATTGCAATGGTTCCTTATCCTGAATGATATTTTACTTATAGAATATATAAACACCTTTGGTGGCTGGGCATCAAACGTCACACCTAACTCACAGCTGTCGATTTCAGCCACCATAAAGGATAGAAAAAAAAGTAAATATACTTGGTGACAGCAGTCATTGCCAATCCAGTGACAGCATTCACCTTTTGATCTTGAATTTACTTGTGAGAATTCTACTACCCGATAAGTTTCCTATGGTCGGCTATTTTTTAGCAATTGACCTGAGAAATAGGCAGTATATTACAGAATTATAAGACCTGGATAATATATGGTGAAAACCACGCTACAGTTGTTAGGACTACCAAGTACCAACAATGCCTCTGCTGAGTTTTATTGTACTGTTTAACTAATGCATGTACTGATGTTCCTTGTATCTGCTTTTCAGGACGGTCAGATTGACTACGCCGAATTCGTAGCCATGATGCAAGGCAACAAAGTTGGACTTGGGTGGCAACCAATGGAAACTACTTTGAATGTAACCTTGAGAGATGCACCTCAAGTACACTGTCACTGATGCACTCCATGTACAGATTTTGTTCTCTTCTCTTATTCATCGTTTCTCCATGACCCGAATTCGGGTTGTAGTGATATGTACGAGAAGGGAGCAAATCAATCAGTTCATTTAGTAGTATTTATCTCAAATAAGTGTGGGCTGGCAAGAATATAGTTTGTCATGAGAGACACTAGTAGATATATAGTAGTGGTATATATTGGTTTATGTAGCTGGTGATCCTGTCAAGCGATTTAATCAAAATACTAAAAGAAGTGCATTCAGTTTGTTCGTTTTGTTACAGGTTGCATGAAGATTAAGGAAATTCTGTTTTCTGATGTTATGCTGCTTCGAAATGTGCTAACGCAACTCTGCGACAGATTTATCGTTCTGTTTTACCGGTCAATGCCGTATAAGTGATCATTTTGTGCTTACGCGCTACGCCTGCAGGCGCATGTTCTGCCAGCTTCTGTCTTTGGGCTCCATGAGCCAAACCAGTTGGCAGTTGCTAGGCACGCTGCGGGTAACCAGTTGCTAAGCAGCCAGAATAGCGAAAGGCAGTCGGCAGGGCCGGATGCACGAGATGCTTCGGCCTACCAGCGGATGAAACTCCGTTCGCTGGTGCTGAAATTTGGCTTACGCCGATGCTTATGCTAAAATGTTGTGAGAGAAAAATACTGTTCTATGGTTGTTTTTCAGAACTACTTTTCAGCCATAGAATAATGTTTTCAGTCATGGAACAGTATTTTTCTCTCACAACATTTCAACATAAACATCAGCATAAGCCAAATTTGCCAAATTTCGAACCAAACCGTGGGTGAGGTGGTAAACAGCGGACGCTGACAGGCTGCGCAGGTGCCCCCGCTGCTCCAAAGGCACGTTTTGGTCTGAAGCCTGAACAATTTACTGTGCGGTTCTGGAAATTCAGAGTCAATGTTTTGCTAAACGCTAAACAATTTACTGTTTAATCACTGTTTGAACTAAACCTCCATTTAAACGGGATAATAAACAGCCAAATAAATAGAAATGGTGTAAGCATTTAAACGATTGTTAAGACAGACAAAATGTCCATTTAAACAGAATAAACGGCCAAATAAACTGGTGTAATCGTCTAAATGATTGTTAAGACGACGAGTGTTGAGATTAGACAGCCAAGCAGGCAGTGTGCCTTCGAAGATACCAATTTCATTTGGCTCGTCAAGCAGCGCGTTTTGTTCTTGTTGTATACTTGTATGATGACAGTGTATGGGTTATGGCCAATTGGTCCTTTCTATTTATCTACGTACTCTACATAGAATCTGGCAGAACCTGGGTGAAGTCAATTGGCCCCGAAGTCAAGTGGTCTCCGACACCCGGCGCTCGTGGGCGGCAGCGATCTCCTGCGAGACAAGAGCAAGCTGTGCAGGGTTAGTCTCTGAACTCACTCTGGAGCTGAACTGAACCACTCTGTGTGTTGATCGATCGATCGCTGGAATCCTTGCCTTGACGTCTCCGTCCGTGCACAGAACACACCGCGACGTGACGGCGGTGCCGCCGCCCAGAGCCCAGCCGACCTCTCACAGGAACTCGCCGTCGCCGAGCTCTCTGAAGGCGCTCCACAGCTGCTTCGGCAGCGTCACGACGCCCTCCGCGTCCCTCAGCAGCTTCCTCGGCTCGTCAGGCGACAGCTCCGCGAACTTTCCCTGCGCACCACTCATGATCCACTCGTCAGTGAAATTCTAGCTCACCAACGCGCTGATCAATCATCGGCGAGAGCTCTACTCTGCTCACCGTCTCGGGGTCCAGCTCGCCGGAGAACCTCGTGGCGGCGGCGTCCGTGGTCTCCCACTGCCCGATCACCTCGGCGACGTCGAGCTTCTCCCCCGCCGCGAACGCGGTCTCCCCGACGGCGCAGCCGCCGAGCTGCTCGCCGTCGCGGAACGGGCCGTACCACTGCTCGGCGAAGACCTTGACCCCGCTGAGCCGCGCCTCCCTGCCCAGCGCCACGGTCTGCACCACTCGGACCCTGCCGGCCTCCTCGGCGGGCGCGTCCGGGCGCACGACGCAGTGCTCCACCTCGAGCACGGGCGCGGGGCCCCTGGGCCACGCGGCGACGTAGGACCCCGCGGTGGCGTAGGCGAAGGCGGCGTGGCGCTGGTGGGAGGTGTGCACGGTGGCGGCGTCGGCCTCGCACCCCACCGTGGGGAGCAGGCGGACCAGGCGGTAGTGCAGCGCGCACGCCGCGGCCGGGTCCGCCAGCGCGGGGCACTGCGTCTGCCAGTCCACCACCTGCACGCCCCACTCCCGGTACGCCTCCGGGACCACGTTCTCCGTCAGCTCCACGGGGTCGCCGGACGCCGTGAAGTCCGCGCCGAAGCCGTCCCACTCGCCGGACACCCGCGCCGCGAACTCTGCCCGCGTGGGTTCTTCATCGATGCATCAAGTTCGTTACGTAGGAGTATATAATGTGTATGTATATCCGGCAGAATCTATCTTTTGCATTGGAGGGTGTGCCGTTATGGGTCATGGGAGTGATGCTTACTCTGCTTTTCTTTAGGTGCAATGTGTTCTTGCGTGTGGACTAGCATCATCTACGAATAATTCGAAGAAAAAAAGCATGCGGACAGAACATTCGATGAACATGCTCCCAGCTTGTGCGTCCCACAATCCACACTTCCACTAGCAAAGAGCCAGTAGTTAATAACTGGAAAGAGCGTGTAACCTGGCGGCGCGCCGGCGGTCGGCGCGGTGGCAACGGTGCTGGAGGTCTCGGGAGAGACGACTCGCAGTCGCGTTCTCGCCGGCCGCCTCCGTGATCGAATCCCGGAGCAAGACGGAGATGGCAATAAGGACGCTGCGGCCGACGGCGGGAGGACGGCGCGGTGGTGGTGGTGGGCGTCGGGGAGGGGCAGCGGGAGGAGACGGGGTTGCGCAGAGAGAAGCGGCATTATTGGAGAGCGGGATCGATCGATGGCCTTTGGCTTTTCTACGGTTTTGGGGTCTTGGCTTCGATTCCTTTCTGTTCGGCGGCGTGGCGCGTACGAATTACACAATCCAAACTCAGGTAGCTGTGTCGCTGTATGTGAAGGCGGATAGAGATAAAACATGTGTGGGCGTGGTTGGCACCGAGCTAGTGGTCACCGCGAATTGGGCCTCGCTTTGATGCGCTCGGAGGCCACTGAGCTTATCGCCGCTGATCACTCCAGATGCCCCAAGGTGCTCTGCTCATGTCCATGTCCATGTCCGCTCCGGCCCCGACCCCCATCCCGCTGACCTCCATCGCCGTGCTGCGGCAACACCACTCGCAGCTCATCCGTCTCGGCGTCGCCTCCCACCCCGCCCACGCGCGCCGCCTCCTCTCCTTCCTCGCCCGCGACCCCGACTCCCACTTCCCGTACGCGAGCCGCCTCCTGGCGCGCCACCCGGCCCCGCACCCGGCGCTCTTCAACCCGCTCTTCTCCGCGCTCCCGACGCGCCACGCCGCGCGGCTGCTGGCCCTCATGCTCTCGCTGCCCCTGCACCCGGACCACTTCACCTTCCCGCGCATCCTCCCGGGCGCCCAGCCGCTCCACCTGGTCGCCCAGCTCCACGCGCTGCTCCTCAAGCTCGGCTTCCACGCCCACACGCAGTCGCTCAACGCGCTGCTCGCCGCCTACCTTGCCAACAAGAGACCCGACCTCGCCTCCCGCGTCTTCCGCGGCGGCGGCGGCGGCGCTCTCGACGTCGTGTCGTGGACCACCATGGTCGGCGGGCTCGTCAAGCTGGGGCTGGTCGACGTCGCGAGGGAGCTGTTCGACGGGATGCCGGAGCGGAACCTCGTGTCGTGGAACGCGATGATGTCCGGGTACGTCAAGGCCGGGAGGTTCCTGGACGCGCTGGAGGTGTTCGACGAGATGCGGGCGCGCGGGGTGGACGGGAACGCCTTCGTCGCGGCTACTGCGGTGGTGGCGTGCACGGGCGCCGGCGCGCTGGCGCGCGGGAGGGAGGTGCACCGGTGGGTGGAGCGGAGCGGGATCCAGATGGACGAGAAGCTGGCCACCGCGGTGGTCGACATGTACTGCAAGTGCGGCTGCGTCGAGGAGGCGTGGCGTGTGTTCGAGGCCCTCCCGGCCAGGGGGCTCACGTCGTGGAACTGCATGATCGGTGGGTTCGCGGTGCACGGGCGGGGCGAGGACGCTCTGAAGCTGTTCGGACGGATGGAGAGGGAGGGCGTGGCGCCGGACGACGTCACGCTGGTGAACGTGCTTACTGCCTGCGCGCACGCCGGGATGGTCAGCGAGGGTCGCCACTACTTCAACTACATTTCTCAGAGATACGGCATTGAGCCCAAGATGGAGCACTACGGCTGCATGGTTGACCTGTACGGAAGAGCAGGGCAGCTGGAGGAAGCCAAGAAGGTTATCCAAGACATGCCGATGGGGCCAGACGCCGGCGTCCTCGGTGCGCTCTTCGGCGCGTCAAAGTTACACGGCGACGTCGATCTGGGCGAGGCGATTGGGTGGCGCGTCATTGAGCTGGATCCCAACAATAGCGGGCGCTATGTGCTGCTGGCGAACCTCCTCGCCACGGCCGGCCGGTGGGAGGACGTGGCTAGGGTCCGGCGGCTGATGGATGAGCGGAATGTGAGTAAGGAAGCCGGGCGGTCAGTGATCGAGGTCCAAGGTGAGGTCTGCGAGTTCCAGTGCGGTGGCCTCTGCCACCCCCAGGCGGAGGAGGTGTACGCTATGGCCAGGGACATGATGAGGAAGATCAGGGCAGAGGGCTATGTGCCCGATACCCGGGACGTGCTGCACGCCATTGCAGAGGAGGAGAAGGAGACGCCATTGCTCTACCACAGTGAGAAGCTGGCCATCGCCTTTGGGCTCCTGCACACCAGGTCCGGCGACACGATACGGATCACCAAGAATTTGAGAGTCTGTAGAGATTGCCATGAGGCAACGAAGTTCGTGTGTCGCGTCTTTGATCGCGAGATTGTGGTCAGGGACAGGAACCGGTTCCACCATTTCAAGGATGGGCTGTGCTCGTGTAAAGATTATTGGTAAAATCCATTAATCATTATAACGTTATACTAAAATCCATTAGTTCCGAAAAATACTAGGAAATAAAAATTTTAGGTACGTGACCATGGGCGAATGTATCTTCTAATCCGTCTTTTTTAACTTATTTTTCCAGCCAGAACAATGTTTTTCTCTTACAACAAATCAGCTGGAACAATGTTTTGGCTTGTTTTTTCATTGAAGCGAACGGGGCCAAACAAAAGGAATCATGCATAATCAGACAGCGAAAAGCCTCTATCAGCCGATTCGTCATAGATATTTTTTTAGAATTACACAGTACAACGTAGACGCCCACAACATGCACGCACACTCACCCCTATGAGCACCTCCGAAGGACTGCGCCGACAGATCTTGAAATTCACGAAGTCACCACAGGCGCCTCGCTGTCGACGGGGACGTCGCCTACCACTGAAAGCATAGTGCCGTTAAATCATGGAATAAATCAAGGAAAATGCGAGCACCCGTGCAAGTCGAGAACTTGAACCTGGATGGGTAGGTTCCACCACACGGAACCTAACCAGCTTAAAACAGAATTATGAACAGACATAAAATATAATTAGTAATTCTTTTTTTAGAAACAATTAGTTACTGAACCAAAGTTTGGAAGTAGGATCTGGTCAAAGTTTGGTTCGGATGAATTTAGAGTTGGGCTGTGAAAATCCCAACAAAGAAATAAGGACGATCTAAGCCCGCCCGTGGACCAAAAAACACAGAATAACAGCCCAAGCCCAACCAGGCAGTATTAGGCAATGAATGGGGCTAGAGTGCTGAACCCCTGGTTGCAGGTACTCAGTAGTCAGCTGCTAGTTCCAGGCTCCAGCCCAACCAGGCAGGCAGGCAGCATCCGCCGCTCGTCTGCTCTCCTCTGAGGCCTCATTAGGATACCAATATATCCACCCTAATCCATGTATGTTTAAAGTGGTTTGATGTGAAATTTAAACCACTTCAACACATGGATTAAGGTGAATCCATGGGTGTCCAAACAAGCTCTCAATTGGCTCGTGCAGTCGTGCGTTAGGTTTCAGAGATTCAGACAGAAGGGAGTAAGGGACGAATGCAATGCCGACACGATTGAGGTCAGATTAGTGCATATTAAAAAGTCATCACCCTTGCACTGAAATAGTTCCCAGACTTAATTCCATAATCCACGTGATATTATAGACTACAGATATGAACAGCATTCATCTTAAACACGGAAAGCAAGTTCTTAGCATTTTCCCCAATTCATTGGGTCACATGACATGAGGAACTCCTTTAAGCCACGCTTGCTTATCTCTCTTTAAGCTGCTCTCTTTAAGCCACGCTTCGGCTTCGGCTTCGGCTTGTCCTGTCTCTCTGGCGCCCTCCATGGGGGTATTAGCCTTAATAAGAGACATTCGAGAACTGCAATAGTAAGAAGTGAACATCAGCTGGTATAACTACTGCCAAATTGAATAAGATTAAGGCTACCATGCTAAAAACATCACATACCCTGATCCATAAAGAGATCAGAAAGCTTGAACGACTCCAAACTTCCAAGAGGTCCAACCAAAGCCTCCTTGGTTGGCGAACTGAAGGTTGGGTTCTCCACGAGCATGTTAATGAAAATCCATAGGTGCTTCTTGACTCCATGCTCCTCCGTGTTAGCCCTCCATCCTTTCTTGTTCAGGCAGAATAGCAATTTTGGTCCCTCAACTATTTCTCGAGGCTTAGTTTCATCCCTAAACTTTTAAAACGGTCGTTTTAGTCCTTAAACTCTGCTTTTAGGCTCAATTTCATCCTAAAACTATGAAGATGATCGTTTTAGTCCTCGAACTTTGCATTTTGGGCTTAGATTTCATTTATAAATTATCAAAGTTTATTTTATTCTTTAAACTTTTATTTTCAACACAACGTTGTCTACGTTCTACGTGGAACGCTGTACTGTTGCACCTGGTTAGCTCGAACACCATCAGCGATTGAAGATAGAAAAATAATATTCATCCAAAAACTCTTTCGTGGTCATTAATAATTTCAGGCTGTTATTTTTAGTGTTACCTTATAATGGTACCATTTATATATATCCGACTAAATAATATTACGGGAGCAATTACAGTTGCATCGAACACTATTTATTCTTTAAGAATACATGGATATATTGAAAGAATAGCAGATCTATAATTTTGATAATTTATGGATGAAATTGTGCCTAAAATATAAGGTTATCTTTTTAATAGACAAAATTGAGTTGAAAATAAAAGTTAAATGCACTTTGATAGTTTATGGATGAAATTGATCCCAAAATGCAATGTTTGAGGACTAAAACAATCATCTTCATAGTTGTAGGATGAAATTGATCCTAAAACTAAAGTTTGAGGACCAAAACAGCCGTTTTAAAAGTTTAGGGATGAAATTGAGCCTCAAGTAATACTTGATGGATCAAAATGGCTATTGTGCCTTCAGGAAACTAGCAACATATTCAGTAATCTGGTTTGACACATAATCAACATGGGGTCCAACAGCAAAAGTCGCAGCTTTGTTCACAAAGCTAACCTGCAACACGAAAAACGTGTAAGACGCCACAGAAAACGTAGCGTAGCTTTCCTTCAAAAAAACACATAGCGTAGCTAAGAAGTTAGTTGCACAGAAACGTCCGCTTACCTGGTCAAACTCCCCTTCTGTTAGACTCACAGCCACCTCCACCTGATCATCGAACTTCTCAATGATCCTATAAGAAAGGCAAGCTTCAATTGATAGAAACACAACTCGAAATTGCTAGACAACACACTCGAATTGATGGTTTGTCTAAAACTATCATAAAACCTTGGGATTAGTTCTGTTGACTTCCAGGTAGGGGACAACAACGCAGCATCAAGATACATATTGACATAGGTTGGGAAGCCCAGGAACTTTGGCAACCTCTTGCCATTAAACGAAACCTGCAGGGTCGTTGGTGCTAGAATACCCGCAATATCAACAACTCTTCTCCTCATGAGGGCAATGACATCATTATCAAGATGAGTCATGTTGAACTTGGCAATGTCGGGCTTGAAGGTGACCTTGGTCCAATTCGCCCCCTTCAAGGAAATTGCAGCCTGGGGCTCGGACTTCATCCCCATATTTTCAGAGAAAACCTGCAATAATATTGGGTTCAAACATCATGCTCTGTATGTGAACAATAAGCGAATCTTAACAGGTACATAAAATTTTTCTTAATTCATACTACAAGATAATATCATACCATACTTTCAGATGGGAAAAATCTATATACAGCACCCTTAACTTTGGGCGGAAGCTACTTTGGCAGAATCAATTACGACACCCCAAACTATAACATAAGTTTGACACCTAAACTATAGCTGCTATGCCATTGCTCTCCACAAGCAATGCCGTGCATCGAGCTAGATTTGGTGCACTTCAGGGGAGGGCGGGGAGGAGTTGATGTGCCGATGAATCAGGGATGTTGGCATCAGCAATGTCCCTTATGCAGTGCACGTGCTCAGTGCTCACACTGATGCGTCTGAGTGTCTGACTTCGTGTCTTGGTCTCAGCTAGGTCCCCTGTTAGTGCACAAAAAAAACTCATCTCGAGCGAGGTCAGCTTGCCTAGAGCCTGGTTTTGTGGCCACTGGGCTACCTGGCAGTCGGCAGATGAGAATTCTCCATTTCAAAGGTAGCCCGGCCTGTAAAATACATGTGCTGGTGGGTGCAGTGCAGCCGTGGGTAAACAGATCTTTTCCAATACATACTCCAGATGATAGATCTCACTAGCTCATCGCCCCATCCCCTTGATGCTAATATATACCTATATGACGAATGCTGGACCAGTGATATATCCATCCTATACTCCTCAGAAACACCAACTCAAAGGCAATGTAGCTTTCCACGTGCAATCAGGTGTTTCATCCACCTTGAGTTCTCAATTTTTAAACAAAAGGATTGAAATACAACCATAGTTTTAAATAGCGAGCTATTGAAAATAGCGGCAACTTTTTTCCGAAAGCTACGAGGCCACAGATAGCATATTTATAAAGAAAACATGAAAAACACCAATAATTGATGAAAAAAACATGGCAAATATAAAATTCGATGAACATAAATACGTTTCTAAGGTTCCACAAGTCTAGGTAACATTACCAACATGACATTACAACATGGTTCATGAAAGTCCAGTGTTTAATTATCTAAAATACCAAATTAGAAGCAAATGATAAGTAGGAAATAACTAATTAAATTGTTAAAACCTATCAGTGTTGGAAAAATCTGAAATAGCGCCACTATTTGAACACTAAAGCTATATAGCACATAATAGCGGTTAAAATTAGCATAGCGGCACAAATAGAAATAGCTTAGCGTTGAGTCTCTCCGGCCGCAATAGCGCCGCTATAGCCCGCTATTTTTTCCTTGAATACAACTAGTAGTTCCATCCTCTAACTTCCTCCATTGCTGCTGTGTGAGGCTCAAGCACTTCGCAGTGTCAGCTAGCTCAAGCACAACATGATTCCCCTATCCCGCCCACATTCCTAGGTCCCTGCAGCATACGTATGCGTTCGTCGGATGGCAAAAGAGAGAGTATTGGAGCTCCTCTCAATACCCGGATGTTAGTTAGCTTTTTACGAAAGGGCGAAAACATACGAGGAGACTACTGCCGATTCATCTCACCTGCTTGTACTTCCTCTCACGGCGTCTGTCAACGATCTCGACGACGAACTCCGTCGAGAATATGTTGGCAGGCTTGATATGCCGTAGCTGCTCCTCCCGCCGGAGCTGGAGGCCTCTTGCACGTTGGGGTCGCAGTTGCTGAGGTGGCCAAAGACCATCTCAGGCACGTAGACGCCCTCCTGGCTGTGGACCTCAATCGGGATCCCGTCCCCGTCTCCGTTGTAGAAGACGGAGATGCGGCACTGAGCGGCGTCGATCTCAATGATGAGGTGCTCCATGGTGGGGTCGTGCTGCTTGTTGTCGGCAGCGTAGACGAGGACCTCATCGAAGATCTTGTAGAGGCCTGGTACGTAAGTGACCTCGCGGTGCTTCATCCGTCCCGCAGCCCGTCTCCCCGCAACCAAATCCACCCCCTCCGCCTGGCTCCCTGGGTACGCTCGAATCCGCTGTTTTTCTAGGGCTTGGCTGTGCGTGGCTCATGGCGGGCGATTTGGGGATGCAGCACGTGGCTCGCGCGGGAACGGTGAAAGCTCCGCACGCGCTCCCTCGTCCGCCGAATCCTTTGCCTATAAAGCCACCCCTCCTCGTGCCGTGGCCCCCTTCTCCTCCGTTCCCTCTCCACTGCTGCAAACCCGTGAGATACCGGCGCAGGTGGTGTGGTGGTGCCCGGTGAGGCGGCATTCTTCCCCGGCGGGCTTCCTCTCAGTTTCCCTGCCGTGGATCTGCTGCGACGCGGCGCTGCACCTTCTTCTTCGCTAGGACTCCGGGAGGCGGCCGTCTTCTTCCTTCGTCTTCCTCGGTTCCGGTGGTGTGTTAGGTGGTGGCGCGGACTGGATCTGCTTCCTCTCCGTCTAGATCCGTTGCCTCTTCTTCTTCTCCATTTTGCGGTTGCCTTTTCCTCCGATGACCACCCTAAGGTGAAATCGACCCCCAAATGCCAGTATGCTTTTGATTTCAATGATGCTAGGGTTTTAGTTTACTCGTACACGCTGCATGTGTCTAGGCACTCTTGCAAACACATGGGTCTCATCAATGGTTGCTGTGGAGTTTGACCTCAAGTTCACATATGTACTAGCTGGCTGGGAGGGCTCAGCACATGATGCCCTCATTCTTACTGATGCCATTGAGAGAAATGATGGGTTCATTATGCCTCAAGGTAACTCACTAGCCTATCCACTACACTTATGTCCTAACCATGGCATAGACATTCACATTAGACACTCTTTGGTGCACTTTTAGGTAAATTCTACCTTGTAGATGCAGGATATGCATGGCGCAGTGGATTCCTCCCTCCCTATAGGGGGGTTAGGTACCATTTGTCTTAGTATGGCAGCAGAAACCTCCCAACCAATGTAAGGGAATTATTCAACCTAAGGTACTCCTCACTTAGGGTCACAGTTGAGAGGGCCTTTGGGGGCATTGAAGAATATATTTAATATCTTAGACAACAAGCCATTCCACCCTTACAAGACACAGGTCAAGCTTGTGTTAGCCTGTTGCATTCTTCACAACTAGATTCTACGCTTTGGCATTGATGAAGTAGTGCCCATAGAGGACTAGTTGCCACCCAGCCACCATGATACTCAACCTGTACATGTGCTGCTGTCTCAAGATTCCCAGGGCATGTCCAATAAGAGGGATGCCATTTGTACTGCAATGTAGGAGGGTAGGGGTACCTCTAGGACCTAATTCATGCATGTTCTTTCTTGTATAACTCAGTTTGTTCACCCTGGTATAGTGGTATAGAATATTTGGTTGTGTACTGCTTATGTAATAACTATTGGACAAGGCTGAGACCAACTACACACCAAATCTTAATGTTGTTCTTCCTATCATGTTTTATGCTTACTGTATTCATGGCTATGCTCTATTTCATGCTACATGACCATGAGACACATCCATAATGTGCTAGTTGCATGCTACTGATATGCTGCTGCCTCTTTATGGGTGTGTCCCATGGTCATCTGTTACCTTGTACATTCAAGGTCATGTGGTTAATAAAATAGTATGGCTTCAGCTCCTGTTGATCTGGTTGGTGCTGAGGGAGGGTTTGTGCCTGCTGCTGGCCTCTTAAATGAGGTTGGTGGGGCTACAGCAGATGCTGGTGCTGCTATTGCTGGTGCTGCTGCACCACCAGCAGCTCCAGGGCCCATGAGGTGGAGCAACAACACCTTTGGGTTTGTGCTTAGGAGGATGGCCTAGCTAATGAGTGATGGTAGTAGGCCTGACAAGGCTTTCAAGGACAAGGATGTGAACTTAGTGTCCAAGCACCTTAAGGAGTACACTGGGGAGGCTCTTAGCCCAACTCAGGTGTACAACCACTTAAGGAAGTGGAGGCAAAAGTGGGCTAGGATATGTAAGCTGAAAGATCTTAGTGGGGTCTTGTGGGACAGTGATGTGAATGCAATCATGCTAGAGAGGGAGCACTACCTTGGGCACTGCAAGGTAGATTAACTAAGATGCTTTCCTCATCTTTGCCTTTTCTTTGTCTTTCTATCAGTTACCTAAATTGTATCCCCTCTTGTAGGATCATCCTAAGGATGCTGAGTTCCTTAACTGTCCTATTAGGTTCTATCTAGAGATGGAGGCCATCTTTGGTCATGCAATGGCCACTGGTAGGTTTGCACTAGGTTCTAGTGAGGCCCTTGGGGTCAACCAGGCTGATAGTGTAGCTGCTAAGGCTGAGGGGACTGCCTTCAACAATTGCTGTGAGGAGAAAACCAACACTAAAGTTGGTGAGGGCAGCAAGGCCATAGAGGTGTTGGCCACTTCTGGGGTGGGTGGGAAGAGGAAGAGAGGCACATTCATTAAGGATGAAATGCTCTTGCTCACCAACATGTCAGACGCAGTGAACAATGTTGCTAATGCTCTTAGGGAAACTGGTCCAGCCTATGTTGATGCTAATCTCTACCTTGCTGTTATGGAGACTCTTGTTTTTTGAAGAGGCTCTCATAGTGGTCTACACCTACCTGCTAGACAACAAGGCCCAAGGTAGGGGCTTTGTTGGCATGAGTGACAGTCATAGGAACATTTGGCTTAGGAACTACCTAGCCAAGAACTACTATATGTAGTTTCACTACCTGCTGGGCTGCATGGCAAATGAGGGGGTTGACTGTTGAGATGTATAGTTCCTCCACCTCCCTCACCCACTCTCTCTTCTTTTAACTACAGTTGAGCACACTTTGTTGTAGGTATTTTGTGCAGCTTACTTGGCTGACTCACACCTGTCCTTTTAATTTATTTACTAGGAGGGTGGCTAACTATATGTGCTAGAGGGCACCATGGTAGGCATTTGAGCCCTGAACTGTTGGGCAGAACATGTTGTTGTAAGCCACTATTTGTAGCCTCTGTTGGCTATTTTATTTGAGACCAGTTGTTGTTTATTCTCTTACTTCCGAACTATTGGTTTTGTTTATTTGGATTGGTGGCAACTATGGGAAATTTAAATGGCCTATGATGCAAACTGTCAACAA